TGAGCCGAGGAAAGCAAAATGCGTCGTTCTCTCTCCAGGTACCTGGTTGTCCTTCAGTAATCCTGTCTTGGCATGTGGCCTCCTCCCCCCCCCCTTTGCCTGTTCAAAGCAGCCCCACCAACCAACCAATTACCGTATCTTTCACCCTATAAGACGCACTTTTTCCCCTCCAAAAATGAAGGGGAAATGTGTGTGCGTCCTATGGGGCGAATGCAGGCTTTCGCTGAAGCCTGGAGAGCGAGAGGGGTCAGTGCGCACCGACCCCTCTTGCTCTCCAGGCTTCAGGAAGCTAGCCGCAAGCCTTGGGAACCCGCGGGAGTTCCTGCTGGGCTCCCTAGGCTTGCGGATAGCAGCCTGTTCTGAGGGCTGGGGTCGGGGGAAGCTCGGGCTTCCCCCTCCCCAGCCCCAAGCCCGGGGGGCAAATAATTTTTTTTTCTTTATCCCCCCCCCCCAAACTAGGTGCGCCCTATGGGCCGGTGCGCCCTATAGGGCGAAAAATACGGTAGATTCCTCTCTCCGCTCCAGCTCACCCACTGCCTCCCATGCTTCTCTGCATGCCCTGGCCAAAATATTGCAGCCAATGGCCATGCACCCACCATTATTTGCTGGAATCCTTTACCTATCCCCGCTACCAGCACTCCTTGCCATCTGAAAGCAGTTACTGGGACCCACTCTGGCTACAGCTGTTCTGTTGCTTCGGCCACAAAAGCTGCTTACCGGATGTAGGCCTCAGTGCTACTGGCGCCTCCAATCTGGTTCTGCGTCAGGTAGGTGTTATGGGAGGAAGAGATGAAGTAATGGCACAGGGGCTGCGTCATGTCCTGGTATATCTTTGCGTGGCCCTGGTTGAGGATGTCTCCGGCAGAGGACAGCAGGTACATCATGAAGCCATCCATCATCATGAGATTGTGCTGCCTGGCTGTGGGACAAAGACGTGGTTAGCAGAGAGAGTTTCAGACTCTACCCATCCGGCGTATTTTAGCGTACCCGTTTCCTAAGAACGGCGCGTCTTGCCAAATGCAAGGTGGTTCACGTTAGTGAGATTCAGAAGCAAGACAGAACACAAGCGAGAAGATTAAAGGTTTTATTCTAAACAGCAAGCGTTAGTGCACACCCCGGAAATGATCTCTTTCAGATTCAGCCTTCTGGAAGAAAGTACAGGGTTATAAAGACTAGGACTAGCCATCTGGGAAACAGTTTCTACCCCAATGTGATTTTGGTTTTAAACGCAGTATAAAGAGTCTCTATGGGAGTACAGTGGTACCTCAGGTTACATACGCTTCAGGTTACATACGCTTCAGGTTACAGACTCCGCTAACCCAGAAATAGTGCTTCAGGTTAAGAACTTTGCTTCAGGATGAGAACAGAAATTGTGCTCTGGCGGTGCAGCGGCAGCGGGAGGCCCCATTAGCTAAAGTGCTGCTTCAGGTTAAGAACAGTTTCAGGTTAAGTACGGACCTCCGGAACGAATTAAGTACTTAACCCAAGGTACCACTGTATATTGTATTTAAAAATGGAGTATCAGAGTTTTTAGGGGGCTAACCAGGTTGGGATAGCTGGGATAGTAGGCTTGTTGGTTTTTGAATGTCTTGCGTAGATTTTTCAATTTTGTTGTTCTGTATGGGACAATGACAACAAAGATTATTGTATCGTATCCTATTATATACATTACCAAGCAAACGCTTCGCTCTGCCACTGGGAAGCCCTCAAGAAGTGGTGAGGCTATCCCCCAGGCGCATAGCTTTCAAGGTTTTCCTTTTTTTAAAAGGGAAATTTCCTTCTTCCGAATAGGATTCCTCGCAAGAAAGGGGAAAAGTTGACAGCTATGCCCAGGCGGCCTTCGTTGGCACAGCCCCACGGCCTATAGTCTGTGCACGAGCTTCACAGAACTATGCCCCAAACCCATCCGATTTATAGATAGCTGACCTGCTAGCCTACGTGCCTTGCCCGGCAAGCCAGTGCAGATTATTAATTGGCTAGCCCCCTCTTCCAATACTGTACATTCCTCCAAACAATGTCTAACATCAAAGAAGGTCACTTCTTCCTTCCACCAGATTATACATTAAAGGCTGCTCTCAGCCATCCAAGAGCAGAACAAGAGACAGAGAGGGGAAGTAAACAGAGGCAGGAAAAGATGACCATGTCAGATCACAAAACTCCACAAAATTACAAATATCTTCCAGAAAAGGTTGCCCATACACAGTGCCTCCAAACATTGTAAAAGTAGGCCAAAAATACACAATACGGAGGTTGTGCGACAGCTATCGAAAGCAGATGCCCCGGATCTCATTCTTCCACAAGGCCAAGTTTGCAGTATGATTCCTTGTTTTATAAAGCAGGGATGCTCCTCTCCTCCTGTTGTTGAGTGTCAAGCAAAAATCCTGACTTGCACTGATCCAGAGCCCCCTGCTATGTGCAAAGCGGGAAACGCTAGCTTTCTGTTGGTCTCTGGCTTATTTTCCCGGTTCGTCCCTCTGTTGGGCTCTGGTTTATTTTTCTGGCTAGTTGATCAACATCAAGCCAGATTTGCCGTTTGGACACAGCAGGGAACTCCGGCTTTTTACCAGTCGGGATCTCCATGCTGGAAGCTGATGTGCAACGGGCAGTTGTGGAGCATGAGGCTAGATGCTGCCCCAACACTACCCCTCCCAGCTGCAGCCATCCTGCTGCTTGCCGGGACTAGGTAGGGTACAGGAAGCACCAGGTTGGCAGTAGCAGTGGGCACAAGCGTGGGCGCATAGATGCTTGCCACTGCTGCCAACCCAGGGTTTCTTCTGCCCTTGACACCTGCAGCCAGGTGGGCAGCAAAGCATCGTATGCCACACTCTGCAACTGGTGTGAAGAAAAAGGAAGAGGCAAGAGAGGAGGACTCATTCCCACCACTTGTTCTTGGCTTAAGAAAACTATGGTTCACAAACAATGGTTGGTGTAATGGGTTTAGGGGTTGCTCGTGCGTAAGTTGCTGCCACTCCTGGCTAGGTTACCTGGTTGAACCCTTTCTGACTGGACAGCCTCTAGCTTCGTGGCTGTCTCAGTCGCTGGCAGAATCCGTCAGTGGGCGTTTCTTGAACTTCTTCCAGCAAAGAAGTTCTTTGACGCCAAGTCTCCTCCTAGTCTCCCTGCGCGGAAGTCTTCTGCGCAGGGAGGGTGTGGGCAGCAGAGTACCCGTACTCTCTCCGCTGGTCTCCGGCGAGGAGTCTTGGAGCCTCCTCTCCGATTCCCCCATCTGCCCCCCTTCTCTACTGGTGTTATGCTGATTTCCTTCCCCAGCAGATGGGCTGCCTCTCTCCCTACTGGGACCCTCTCCGGCATCCCTCTGGAGCCTTCCCTCCGCCTCTAGCTCCGATGGCAGTTCCCTGACAGTTGGTGACCTAGAATGATTGTACAATCCATGGTTTAAGTCTAGAATAATAATACAAACCATGGTTCAAGTCTAGAATGATAATACAAACCATGGTTCAAATCTAGAATGATCGTACAAACCATGGTTCAAGTCTAGAATGATCGTAGAAACCAATGTGCAATGCAACAAAACAGACCATGGGATGCTATTGCACTTTCTTTTCCACCACCCCACTCGACTTTGCAGTCTGCTTTTTGTGGGGGGAAAGGACAGCAGAGAAACAAAAGCATCGTGATCTGTTATGTATAATCACAATTTCTGTCCCTCCCTCTCCTTTACATTCCTCTGCCTTGTTATGTTTCTTTCGACTGATGTTATTGCTGTGCCGGCTGTTTTCGTTGCAAGGTATTATGCTGTAATTATAATATGGAAAAATCAATGAAGTGTTTGTTGTTGTCGTTTTGTTTTTTTAAAAAAGCATGATGAAATTGTGTCGTGTGTGTGTGTGTGTGTGTGTGGAAGAGAGGATGAAGGAGACGCTGCTGCTTTCACAGACCAGCACATATACTCTACATAATGTGTAGTTTTGAGCCGTGGACTTCAATTTTATGGGTCGGCACGCAGATTATAGCTTTCCAAAGACTCAGGGGCAGTGTGGTGTCATTATTTATATAATGCCATCTAGACATGGTGCTTTGCAAAGGACAGGCGTGACACACTCCTTATCCGAAAGGGCTTGCAATCTGAAAATAGTAACAGGGGAGAGATGAAAGCTGGCGAAAGCAGAGAAAGAACGTGCCGTCATTACAGTTACGTGTACTTAGGCTTGGTCGTATTTATTTATTTAGTCGTTGCATTTTTATCCCAGATTTCCCCCCGCCCCAGGAGCTCAAGGTGGCAGCCAAGGGTCTCTCCCCAACTCTTTTAATCCCCAAAACCAATCTGTGCCGAAGGTTAGGCTGAGAGTCTGTGAGTGGCCCAAGGTCACCCAGCAAACCACATGGTTGAGCAGGAATTTGAACCCTGGTCTCCCAGGGACCACACTTTTTGAGTACAAACACACATGCCATTATAATAGACAGTTGGGACTAGGTATTCCCCGCTCCAACCAAGGCTTTAGGGAAAATGTGGGTTTTGAGGAGGATTTTAAAGAAGAGAGGCGATATCACAGAGGTGTCCTGGGAGGCAGCTCCTGGCAAAAGGGTGATCAAGGAACGGTAAAAGAAAAAAAGGTTGGATGGTTAAGGCGACTATGGAGTTCTGGCGCTCATTTCGCTTTCAGGCCGAGGGAGCCGGCGTTTGTCCACAGACAGCTTTCCGGGTTATGTGGCCAGCATGACTAAACCGCTTCTGGTGCAACGGGACACCATGACGGAAACCAGAGCGCATGGAAACACAGTTTACCTCCCGCCGAAATGGTACCTATTTATCTACTTGCACTGGTGTGCTTTCGAACTGCTAGGTTGGCAGGAGCTGGGACAGAGCAATAGGATTCACCCTGTCATGGGGATTCGAACCGCCAAGCTTCTGATCAGCAAGCCCAAGAGGCTCAGTGGTTCAGACCACAGTGCCACCCGCGTTCCCGATCAAGGAAAGATTACCATTGTTTAAGGAAGCAGGAGTCCTTGAGACAGCTATAGCAGATGAAGCTGGACAAGCTAGGATAGCTCAGTTGTTAAGTACGAGACTCTTAATCTCAGGGTCGTGGGTTCAAGCCCCACATTGGGCAAAATGATTCCTGCTGCAAGGGGTTGGACTAGATGACCCACAGGGTCCCTTCCAACTCAACAATTCTATGAAGCGAAGGCCCCAGGTAGGGAAATGAGAAATAAGGAGAGGACAAGGCCATAGAGCATAGGTAGGCAAACCAAGGCCTGGGAACCGGATCCGGCCCAATCGCCATCTAAATCCGACCCGTGGACGGTCCAGGAATCAGCGTGTTTTTACATGAGTACAATGTGTCATTTTATTTAAAATGCATCTCTGGGTTATTTGTGGGGCCTGCCTGGTGTTTTTACATGAATAGAATGTGTGCTTTTATTTAAAATGCATCTCTGGGTTATTTGTGGGGCACAGGAATTCGTTCATTATTTTTTTTCTAAAATATAGTCCGGCCCCCCACAAGGTCTGTGGGACAGTGGACCAGCCCCCTGCTGAAAACGTCTGATGACCCCTACCATAGAGGGTTTAAAGGTGAAGGTGAGAAGCTTGTGCAGGATCTGGGAGCAGACAGGAAGGCAGAGGCAGGATTTAAGGAGAGGCATCACATGATCAAAACAATGAAAGTGAATAATTATGGCAGCAGCAGAATGCTAGGCAGATGTGAAAGAGGCAAACTGAGAGCAGAAGACAAGAAGAAGACTGCAGTAGTCAAGGTGAGAGCTGACCTAGGGCAGGGCTTCTCAAACTCTTTTCTCTGGGCCACACTTTCAGAATAAGAATTTGCTTGTACCACACCAAATTTCTCACTGATAAGAAATACAATGGAAAACAAAAAGAAACAACTCCTTGCAGTGCTTGATTTATAACACAGAACACAACCACTTGATAACGTAATCATGGGACTACCAGAAAGTATAAAACAAGGCAGCTATATAAGAACATGAATCATTACCAAAATATAATTATAAATGAGCTTCTTACATATGTACCTTATGTATGCATACAGACTCAATGAGAGGTGTAATATAAATCTCATTTATATTAGGTCTAATTCAGGGGTCAGCAAATAAGTTTAGCCGTGGGCCGGTCCACTGTCCCTCAGACCTTGTGGCGGGCCAGAAAGGCAGCACCGGGAGGGGGGAGCTAGAAGAAGAGGCATGGGGGGCAAGTCGTCCTCCAACCCACGCCCCAGCCACTGCGCTTACCTTCCCAGGGGCTGCCGCCACCACCACTACCACCACTGCTGGTCTGCTCCACTCTCTGGCCCACAGGAGCACCAGGGCAGCGGCGGCGGCAGAGGGAAGATGAGCAGCACGAAAGGACTGGCTCCAGAGAGGGGCTGCTTAAAATGGCGTTCAGCCAGCTCAGCCCAGCCCCCTTCCTCCTCTAGGCAGGGCGGGGAGAAGCCAGGAGGAGGGAGGGAGGAGGCGCCGCCGCCGTGTGTGTGAGGGAGAGGGGGGGAAATGGCGCAGCCCAAACAAACAGAATCCCCACACTGATCCACGGACAGTCTTGAAGGCATTTGGGCCTGATCCGGCCCCCGGGCCTTAGTTTCCCGACCCCTGGTCTAATTTGAGACAAACAAACTCATCTCCTCATCGACACAAAGAAGCCTTCCCCTTTTCTGATCTTTCATATTTGTCAGAGCTGAAAATCCCTGTTCACAACAAGATGTCGTGGAGAGCTGTAGAAGAATAGCCAATGCTCTTGAAAAGTATACACTGAAATGTTTAAACGTTTCTTTGATTGTCCTTGAATCTTCCCACTCCTGCCATCCTCTCCTGCCACAGCAGTGTGGTGAGACACACCCTTTGAAAACCACTGACCTAGGGTGTGGTTTTGCAAAGGGGGTAGAGAGGAAGAGCTGTGTTTTTTGCAGAGAAGCAATGCGACTGAAAGGGACGCGGGTGCCGCTGTGGGTTAAACCACAGAGCCTAGGGCTTGCGAATCAGAAGGTCGGCGGTTCAAATCCCCGTGATGGAGTGAGCTCCCGTTGCTCAGTCCCTGCTTCTGCCAACCTAGCAGTTCAAAAGCACGTCAAAGTGCAAGTAGATAAATAGGTACCACTCCAGCGGGAAGGTAAACGGCGTTTCCGTGCGCTGCTCTGGATCGCCAGAAGTGGCTTAGTCATGCTGGCCACATGACCCGGAAGCTGTACGCTGGCTCCCTCGGCCAATAAAGCGAGATGAGCGCCGCAACCCCAGAGTCGGCCACAACTGGACCTAATGGTCAGGGGTCCCTTTACCTTAATGCGACTGAGAATGGGAGGATGAGGGGCAGGGGAGAGAAAATCAGAGATAAAACCAGATTGCTCTTATTTCTCCACAAAAATAACAGTGTTCATGCAACCCATGAAAGTCTTCTCTTAGGTGAAACATCAGTCCCAAGAGAGATTTTTTTGGATTTCAGCTCCTTAACCTCCATGTTCTTCCTGGATGTGCTTGCAATGCCTCAACACAGCAAGTGCACTGCATTCATGACAATTATAACCATGGTGTTCCGTCATAACCTTGAGGTGTGCGCATTGGGTTCATACCTTTCTCATTCAGCTCAAAAGTCTGGATGATTTCATGAGCCCGCTGCAAGCTGGCTTCCTCGCCCTGGTCGCGGAGAAATTCCTGCAGCTCCTCAGACGACAGCACGCGGTCCTCGCCCGAGTAACGGCGAAAGATCTCCTCCAGCTCAGGACGCGCCATCAGCCGTGTGCAGAACTCCTCAATCTCATATTCCTCCAAGCGATCGTTGTTTGATCTGTCACACTCCTAAATGAAAGAGTGAAGGAGCAGTTAAGTAAATTGCCAGGGGTGGATGGATGAGAGGAAATAGCAACTGATAAGCTTGGATGGAGACAGAGCTGTGTGTTGTTGTTGTTTTTTTTTAAAGGAGGGGTGGAAGAAATAAATGGAAATTCTGCAAAGAGTAGAAAATGTGTGAATCTGGATTTAGTGTACATACAGTGGTGCCTCGGGTTAAGTACTTAATTCGTTCCGGAGGTCCGTTCTGAACGTGAAAATGTTCTTAACCTGAAGCACCACTTTAGCTAATGGGGCCTCCCACTGCTGCAGCGCCGCCGGAGCACGATTTCTGTTCTCATCCTGAAGCAAAGTTCTTAACCCGAGGTACTATTTCTGGGTTAGCAGAATCTGTAACCAGAAGCATATGTAACCTGAGGTACCACTGTAATTTATTTTGGTGTTTCTAGGCACTGAAAGGAACAGCTACGATAAGTACTTAGGTGGAATACAGTCACACCTTGGTCTTTGAACACCTTAGTTCTCAAGCGTTTTGGTGCCCTAACGCCACAAACCCAGAAGTGAGTGTTCCATTTTGCTAACGTTTTTTGGAAGCCAAACGTCCAACACAGCTTCCGGTTGAGTGCAGGAAGCTCCTGCAGCCAATCGGAAGCCACACCTTGGTTTTCAAACGTTTTCGGAACCGACTTCCGGAACGGATTACGTTCGAGAACCAAGGTACGACTGTATAACAGGCATTAGGATCCGACATTAAGGTGCCTGTTACCAGAAGCCAGATTATTATAGGTAACAATACGGGGGAAAGGACTATAAAAAGGCAGAGGGAAGAGGCAGCCCCCACTCTAGGGCTGTGGGAGAAGATAAGGCTGCAAAACCATCGTCAAGGGTGCTTAGACCAGACTGTTGTACTGAAGTCCTGGATTAACAACCCAGCAAGTGAGATAAGGCAGGCCAGAGAGCACATGCACAAAAGGAGGGAGTCATTGTCTGATCTGACATCCTCCCTCCCCATTCACAGCTTCACAAGTGACTGCTGCAGTGCATTCTGTGCGGGACAAACGTCAAACAGAATGCCGCTTCCAACTAAAGTGAGGCGGTAGGAACGCATGCAACCAATAGGGAAGCAGCTATACCGTCTTCCAGGTAGATTCATAGAATAGAATCATAGAATCATAGAGTTAGAAGAGACCACAAGGGCCATCGAGTCCAACCCCCTGCCAAGCAGGAAACACCATCAGAGCACTCCTGACATATGGTTGTCAAGCCTCTGCTTAAAGACCTCCAAAGAAGGAGACTCCACCACACTCCTTGGCAGCAAATTCCACTGTCAAACAGCTCTTACTGTCAGGAAGTTCTTCCTAATGTTTAGGTGGAATCTTCTTTCTTGTAGTTTGGATCCATTGCTCCGTGTCCGCTTCTCTGGAGCAGCAGAAAACAACCTTTCTCCCTCCTCTATGTGACATCCTTTTATATATTTGAACATGGCTATCATATCACCCCTTAACCTCCTCTTCTCCAGGCTAAACATGCCCAGCTCCCTTAGCCGTTCCTCATAAGGCATCGTTTCCAGGCCTTTGACCATTTTGGTTGCCCTCCTCTGGACACGTTCCAGTTTGTCAGTGTCCTTCTTGAAGGACACTGACCCAAGTCCAGGTGCTGGTTCTGCCCCCCGAGACCTGACAAGGTTTGGGAGCTGCATGGCTCAGGGAGCCCCTCTCCCTACTTGCTAAGGTTCAGGTCAGGAACAGCTGAGGGCTGGCTCCAAGTTGAGGACCAGAGTCTATTCTGGTGCCTCTGGCTCTGACTAGTTGAGCCTACTCTGCTCCCAGAAAGAGACAGCTGGCAGAGACAGCCTGGGGAAGAAGTAAAGGTAAAGGGACCCCTGACCATTAGGTCCAGTCGCGGACGACTCTGGGGTTGCGGCGCTCATCTCGCTTTATTGGCCGAGGGAGCCGGCGTACAGCTTCCGGGTCATGTGGCCAGCATGACTAAGCCGCTTCTGGCGAGCCAGAGCAGCGCACGGAAACGCCGTTTACCTTCCCACTGGAGCAGTACCTATTTAGCTACAGTGGTACCTCGAGTTAAGAATTTAATTCGTTCCGGAGGTCCGTTCTTAACCTGAAACTGTTCTTAACCTGAAGCACCACTTTAGCTAATGGGGCCTCCCACTGCCGCTGCGCCGCTGCTGCACATTTTCTGTTCTCATCCTGAAACAAAGTTCTTAACCTGAGGTACTATTTCTGGGTTAGCAGAGTCTGTAACCTGAAGCGTACCCAAAGTACCACTGTACTTGCACTTTGACGTGCTTTCGAAC